CCTTGACTGATGAAGTCTTCTGGATCGAAGGCGAAACGTTTCAGCACAAAAAAAAGAAACTGTCCAGATGACCTGACTGAAAAATGTTGGATAGCAAAAATTAAGATAAAAATTACTAAACAAAAAACATAAAATGCTAAAGAATATAACAAAGTTCAAAAGTCAAGCTTCCTAAATTTTTGTAACGCTTGGGCTCTCTTAAGAAACTTTTTTTTTTTTTCTTAATTAATGTAGTGTGTGCTCACTGGGATTAACCTGTAAAAATAAAGTTTGAACAAATAAATGTTAAAATTATCAATGAGCACGTTTCGCCTTTCATGCTTTTATTTATCAATTTGCTTTTTATTCTTATTAAAGTGAAATATTAATTAAGATCAGTATTTATCAGACAAATATTTGTTTTTCATTCCTCGATCGCAAGATCATTTGAAGCTCAGAAACATGATTTTGACCGTAAAAGTCAAATATCCGAGGATCTTTGAAGGCAACACCCTCAACTCGGTCTATGACGTCAGACATAAGCGGAAGTAAATTTCCTTGTTGAGGTTCTCTGTCAACAAAGCCGCGGTTTGTAGTTGAGTTAAAGCGACGTGTCTGAGGGAGCACCCGGCCCAGTTCCGGTACCGGTTCTCCGCACCGACCCGTTACTCCCCCATCAAGTTTGGGTCAGTTTTCACATCTGAAGATGACTTTTTTTAGAGTTCTGTCGGCGGTTCTGGTCTCGGCGTGTTGGTTCGTGTGTGTGTCGGTGGCGCAGAACCAGAATGTGACCATCACAACGACGACCCAACACCCGGCCATCACCAACGGAACCACCACCAACGACACGGCCCACCACGGACATGGCAAGTTTAGCAGGTTCGGCGTGGACCCGTCCATGATCCAGAGGGCCCTGTACGTCCTGATCGTGTTCACCGTGTTTGGACTCCTGTACTTCCTGGTCCGAGCTGTTCGGTGAGACCCCGGTCACGATTTTAAACTGCAAACTTTATAATTTTTACAAAATAACACGCCGACAAATGGAGGAACGTTAAATCGACACTTTTTTGAATAGAGTCTGGTCCAAACTGAAACAGGGTTGGACTCAGATTTGATGATTAAATTAGTTCCAGAATAGTTCACAAAAAGTGTCTGTGACACAAATAAACTGTTAGAACTTGGTTCACCGTGAAGATTGCAACATGCACCGACACAATAATCCTGTTCACGTGACTCGTCACGTGACAAACAACAGGTAAACAAAATAAACATGGAATAAAAGTTAACGATAAATAAAACGGAATGAGTTGAGGGTCACAGCAAAACGTAAAATAAAGTCAAATAACAAAAAGAGACAAATCTACGGACGAGAAGGAGAGAAAACAAAGTGTAGACTAAAAATACAAAATAACAACATTCCAAACATTCTTTAAAATGTGTGAACATGAAACAAAACAAGAGACGTTCTGTGACGTGAGACAGACTGAGAGACAGACCGTGAGACAGACTGAGAGACAGACTGAGAGACAGGCTGAGAGACAGACTGAGACAGACCGAGACACAGACCGAGAGACAGACCGTGAGACAGACCGAGAGACAGACTGAGAGACAGACCGTGAGACAGAC